ACACATTTTGGTACTGAACCGAGTTATGGCTGGAGCTAACAAGTCCCGGTGCTCACGGCAGACATCCAGCACGAGGCAGATCACGAGCCGAAGCATGGATCACCGACCTGAGAGGCTACAACGAAAGTCGCACAAGACATGATAAGAAACTTGAGTCGGCCACTACAAGCCGAAGCATGTCGTGGTTGGTGCCACAGCCATCAAGCGGCCCAGAGGACCAGAGCCCCAGACCTGCGAGACCGCCAGTCCACGTGCTCACTCAACCCAGTTGCTGAGGAGCCCACGACGCGGCAGTCTGGAGGACTGGGGTCTCAGACCTGCGAGACCGCCACGCCAGGTGACTCACTCAACCCAGTTGCTGAGGAGCTCACGGCTGGGCAGGAGAACGCCAACAGCCACGGGGTGACGAAGATTCCCAGCCCCTGTTTGCTGAGATTCAGAACGTCGAACCAGATACTCGCTCAGACCAGTTGCTGAGGAGATAGCGGTTTCCACAGGAGAGTTGTCTCCTGCCACAAAGCAGTCATGCCGATTCCCAGCCCAGTTTGCTGGGGGCGGAACCGCTGAGAGTCAGACTGCGAGAGCCGCCGGAGCCAGGGGGACCCGACCTTTTTAAGACTGGTCTCGTCACATCCCAGCACCAGTTTGCCAGGAGAAAGGCAGCCTGAAGTACACGACGTCGATCACCAGACGGATCGACCTCCCAAAAGATTTGCCACACTCCGGCACCGGCTTGCCAGGATGAGTTTGGCCTGAAGCTCACGATGTCGACAGCAACCTGCAACAAGAGCTTAACAGGAGCACATTTCAACAGCCCGGGTTGCTGAGAAATGGGCCACCTCATTACATCAAGAGATCTGACCTGCCCAAGCAAAGCTAGAAGAAGACTTATGGCAGACATCCGGAGCAAAGCTAGAAGAAGACTTAAGCAGACATCCGGACCTCGAAAGGGAGCGGCGACCGAGCAAAGCCAATGGGACTTGAATCCCCCGCTAAGAATATTGGCGGAAAGCAAGGCGCGCAGATCAGCATGTGTGGAAGTGCATGCAGGGACATGCACTGAAACCGAAGAGCAGAGGCGCACAGTCGGATTTTTCAGGGTTGGACCAGGGGTCCAGTGCACATGTGATATGATCCGAACACACTACGGCCCAGGGTTGTTCAGCAGACGCTCCACTCGAAGTAAGCGAGCATGAAGACTACGAGAGAACCGGGAGTCAATGATTGACCCGCAAAAACTCTCAACGTCATCAAGACGGCCACTGAGGCCGCGCAACCAATCACCGTGGCCCTGATCTGAACCTGTAGCCGGCGGCTCAGAGGGAGCGCGATGCACGATTCGGGTCGGTGCATCCCAGCTGGAGCCAGCAGCCAGGGCCTCCTTCTGTTCATCTGATAAACCAGCGAAGACGGTTAGAGGGTCTCGCTCGTCACCGATATCACCAGATTCCGAAGGCGTCAAGGAAGCAGCATCAGGGTGGTCGATGTCATGGTGAGCCCAGGCTTGTCTGACCAATTGCTGGGCGAGCGGCTCCTGCTGTGTCTGCATGTCCTCACAAAATCTGGCGAAAGCGATGCCATGAGCGAACTCGGCAGCACGAGAAGAGATTTGCGGCCGGTGCACTGCAAAACTGTCGTGGACCCAGACCGCACGCCGGGTTAGGGCCCGATCCATTGCCCCGGTTGAAGCATGAGAGGACATGGTACTCAGTCCAGCAGCAGGCGCAAAAGCTGAAGTGCACCAATGCAAGTAAATGCAATCCACAGGTAGAGGCTTCGGAGCAGCAGGCGAAACCGGAGAAGCTCGGAGCGTTGACGCTCCTGTGTATCCTCCAGGCCGGCGTCAAGATCGAGAAACCGTCTTTCAAAGTTCAAGTGGATGTTGTGGCTCTCGGCTTGAGAAGTTTCAAGCCGGTGCAGCTGCACTCTCAAAGAAGAAATTTCAAGAAATGCAACGTCCAACCTACCACGTGCTTCGTGGATCCACAAGCGAAAGATGGCAAGTAACCGCTGAATACGATCGATCAGGCCAAAAGCTTCGGAGAGGCCTGGCTGCATATGCCCATAGGCACCACCACTAGCTCGGCAGACCTACGACTGTAGACCAAAGGCGTGTGCAAAGAACATGCGCAGAAGTTGACTGGCGGAATGCAAAGCACAGCACTGGCACAATGCAGACACCCGCAGGCCCGAAATAAGAGATCGCGCTGCAAGAATGCTGTTTTGCACACAGTCTGAGTGATGCACGATCAGGGCTGGGCATCGCCAGCTGGCATGTCAGGAGATCTGCAAAGAAGGCGCTGATGCAAAATGCAACGCGACTGCAGAGCTCACAAAAGTCTAAGTGCCACTGCGTCGGTCATCGACAGCCCATGGAGACAAGTCTCCCTGGTAGATGTCACCAAAGCGACGGCCCTGAAAGAAAGCAGGGCCTAGCGGCTGCTGTCAGAGTGAGGCACAGGCAGCGCACTTGTGACAGCAAGACGGGCAATGGCAGTGGCTACTTCGGCCATCGCCTCCTCGAGCTCAGTCATTCTCTCAGCCAGGCTATCAAGGCGAGACAGAACATCAGTCTTCAAAGTACGCACCTGTGCTTGAAGCTCACTGACCTGGAAGATAAGGCCAGTCACATCATCTGCCACTGGCGCCACTTGGGCACTTACGTGGACCTGCAAGTCCTGAAGATCGCGAAGAGTGGCAACCGCAACAGGCTCCGGCGCGGGTGGCAACGGTTCGAGGAGAACCTCGACCATGTCATCATCATCGCCTGGAAGGGAGGCATCGTCACTCTCAGGGCAAGAAGCATTCACGCGGTCAGCAGTAGCCATTGAGCCGACAGCCCGAGAGCGACCCAGCCCCCTATGTACAAAATTTTCGGCTGACCTTGGGCCCGAAGCTTCGTCATGCTGAGGATGTCAACGAACAAGACACGTTGAAAGCAAGACGAGCACAAGTGCCGAAAATTGAATGGTAAAGTTTAAAAAGGAAGAAAGTGTATGAGCCTAAGGTTTCGCTCGCGTCAAAACGCATGTCGCTCGCTGTCGCCGCACACGACAACGCCATCGCATGCGCGAACGCACACGTCTTTGTGCTCAGCGCAAGACCTGCTCTGGTGTTAGCCTCCGGCGTCTGCAGAGCTCTGCATCCACAGCGACTAGTTTTGCAATGAACTTGATGTTGGGCAGCAACATCTGCTCTTCGATCCTTGCAGGCATTGCTTGCATCTTTTGGTTTAGGCTTGGCTTTCAAAAACGGAAACCAAGTTCAGGCCCAGGAGCAAAGGTGGCAGGCAGCACTGAACGTGGACCTTTCAACTTTCCCCAGTGTTGGATTTCTTGTCTTTATTATTCTGCTGCGTTAGGCGTATACCGTATACCACGTCATATACCCTAAGTCCTAAACCGCTCTTCTACACTTCAATTTGGACACTGAAGCACCTGTTGACCCCAAATGATCTCCGATGGGTAGACGTTCACGATCTGATCCGGAGATCGCGACACAAAGGCCATGGCGTCGCTCAAAGCATAAGGCAATAACTGATCAGCAATTGCCGGTGCTTGCACACCGAATGCTTTTTACAGCCTGATACTGGATAGCTGTTGCAAGACTGGTACAACACGCCGCGCAAGCTCTTCGTTGCAAGTTTGCGCTGTGACTCGGAACCACACCAAGGTCACCCAGGTTTGGAACAGCAAGCTTTATGTGCAGCGGCAACGTCAAGTTCCATGACTACTTCGGGTGGTGCAGCAGCGGCTTCGTCTACATCGTCTACGGCTTTCGTTTCGGCTGCCAGTACAACGAGCCCAATGTCGCGAACACCTGTGGCACAGCCCACAACCGCAGCAGCCGAAGTCAGGGAGCCCCGACGTGAAGGACAGCGCGCTCTCACCCGCCAGGAGTTGGACACCGAAGTCTGGCTCGCAAGCTCAAGGGGCTACGCCTTTCGCAAGAGAGGTCGTGAGCGGTTCCTTTTGCGTTTGTCACAAAGCTCTTTCAGTTGACTTGAACAACTCAGCCTAGTACTTTAGTTCGGTAGGGCTGTTTTAAGAAGCCACCCTACCCGAGCAGTCCAAGAAGGACTTGAGAGTTTGTGTTGAAGTGTGATGGGTGAAGCTTCGTTTCAGTTGGTATGGGTCGTCGGCGTGGAAAAACTGGCTTCTTCCTAGGAAAAAGCTAAAAAACAATTAAATAAAAGCTAAATAAATGCTAAAATAAAAGCTAAAGGAAAGCTAGAAAAAAGCTGTAACTCCGACGGCCCCGGAACATCCACCAGCAATGAAAAGCTAATCCAAAAGCTGAGCGGCAAGCTGTCTGAGCCACGTTCTACACCAATCTTGCATTTTGGTACTTTTTACTACCTTTTGGATAGCTTTTATTTCCAACTATTCAGGCATTCAGGTAAGGCATACATACAGTCGCACAGCGAGTGCAACAAAGCGCGGCAGTCGGACTCCTTCTTTTTCAAACCAAAGCGGGGTGTGTCCGGTGAGTACGCAGCTAAAGAAAGGTGCACACACCAGCATGGATGCACACATCCGACAAGATGACCGGCACACCGTCATCACTCACCCACCCCAGGGGAGGGCGGGCGGGACAAAAATTTCTCCCAAGCTGCACACAGCCGAAACTGCAACGTCGAAGTGAATGTTGAGCAAGTTGCCAAACAAAACAATGCCTCAAGTGACGTAAACACGTCGCCGGTAGTCTGTAAAATAAAACAGCAAAGGCGACACCGACAGAAAATAGTTTGGGAAATAAAATGCTGTCTCGCAAGCGAGAAGGCTTATTTATTTCCAACTATTCAGGTAAGGCATACATACAGTCGCACAGCGAGTGCAACAAAGCGCGGCAGTCGGACTCCTTCTTTTTCAAACCAAAGCGGGGTGTGTCCGGTGAGTACGCAGCTAAAGAAAGGTGCACACACCAGCATGGATGCACACATCCGACAAGATGACCGGCACACCGTCATCACTCACCCACCCCACTCAAGGAGATGACGGTTAGGAGAGGGTTATGATGGACTGCACCAAGCTGTCGAAAAGAGCTCTCACGCTCGACTCTGTAGCTGCACGGCTGCGAGGGAGCATACTACAGTCCTTACCTCTGCTAGGGTGGTCTGCCACATTGCTGCACGAAGGGACACGTGCCAGCCAGGGCAGCACCGTGTGCGATTCACAAGTCTTAGCGAAGATATGACAGATCCGCGTGATCGACCAAGACGATGAGCAGCCTTTAATCAGTGAACTCCGGGCACCCTCATTGTCGAGGTAGGCTACGCACTCAGTGGACTCCAAGTGTTCCTCCCAAAATTGGAATGCCAACACGACCGCAATCGCTTCCAACTCGCCGATGCCTGTCTCCGCCTTGAGGGGCAGCAAAGGGCGAATGTCGGTGCTCTTCAGGAGCAGCGAAAACCACCCAGCTACGGAACCCGAAGGCGAGACCAACACGCCACCTAAACCTCCGGTATAGTCAGGCTCAAAACTCGCATCGGTGAACACGAACCATGGCAGGCCTAGCGACTTATGAATCCTTCTGGGTTGTCCTTCAAGTATGCGAGCCATCAGAAAGCTCAAAGCATCAGTCGTGGCAACGCTCAGCTTTGGAACAAAAGGGTATGCATGCACGTGTGCGCTGACATGCTTGAGGGCGTAATGCCCGGCTTTACCCATGACCTGCGAGTTTGCAAAAGCAAGTTTGCCACGCAACTCCATGCCACCCTTATACGACAGATGGCCCTTGTCAAGCACGTCTGAAACCAAAGCATGGATGTCTTTCTTCCTCTTCTCGGTGTTGTCCACAGTGACGACACCATCCCCGCTCTCAGACAAGTCAAAATGCAATCCAAGAGCCGAGACATCGCGAGAGAAGGTGTCGGCTTTCGGGCCCACCGTGTCGAAGACCCACCCTAACAACTGGAACAGAAGCTCCATCGTGCTTCCAGTGTTGTCTGCTAGACAGTCGGGCGATGCGACTATGAAGTCGTCGTAATATGAAGTCGTCGGCACAAGGAGGCAGCGGGTCGCTAACCATTGGATGCACCGAGAGCACCTGATAAAGCCGTTGACTGATGCTCGGGAGCCGAACGGGAGGCAGATTTGTGTGAAAAGGCATGTCTTCCCCGTGTGAGGGTTATAAACAGCAATCACGGCAAACTTTCTGGAGGCGGTGGAAACACATAGCTGCCGATATGCAGCGGTCAAGTCGAAGGAACGGCCTTTGATCCAAGAGGGTCGCTTGGCTTTTCCGAGTCCCTCGCACAGTTTGGCAAACATGGCAGCCGCTACATCCGCAGTGTCTACTGTAGGCTGCTCTAGCGTGGTAACGCATGCATTCACCCCGCTGCGGCTGTAGTCGTCAATGGGCCGCAACTTGTCGTGCTGCCACAAAGGGAAACGATGCGATACGACATACCCGGCAGGCAAGTCATCCCAAGCATATGGGCCCACGAGCCAGCCTCTCTCCACTTCCTGCATCGTCTTTTCCCACAACTTCAAGTCGGTGGCATGATCACCCGACGAACCAAGCGACATCCGAAGGGCTTCATTTGCGGGGCCTGCAGCAGCGCTGACATCGTCAGGGTGGAGGGATGCTGGAGACACTTTCCCAGGCAGCACGTTCGACACAGGCGATGTCCTTTCCTGATCTTATGTCACTAGCCAAGTTCACATCCTCATAGCCCTCGCTCGCAATAATCTCATCCAACAGTTGTAGACGCTTGCTTCGCAGCACCTCCCTCATGCGCGGGTCCTCCACTTCCCATACAGGATCAGGACGCACACCTATCTCAGCAGCACGGGCAGTCCACTTATCCAGCCACCGCTTGCGCCGCTGGACGATGGCACTCGGTGGGGCCTTCGCCAACAGATCTATGCAAGACACGAGATGTGCTGGCAACGAGTCAACCATCGCCTTAGGGTGACCCGCTGTCACGGCTGCACGCACGAACTCGCTTTCAGTATGGTACACTCCAAACGTCACGGTACACTTCTCTCGATCCCGCTCCTCGGCAAGACCAACCCGTGGATTGTTAGCCATCTCAACCTGAGGCGGCGCAATGGCTGGCAGGATCGATGGGCTGTGACCGGGCAGCGGAAAACCCAGGTCTAGGAGAAGTCTAGTGTCACCCTGTTTCAGCGACGAAAGATTTCTCGGAGTGAAGCCGATCAAAACGATTCTTGATCCAAGCCAAGGCATTGTGCAATGAAAGCGGTGTGCATCAAAATGCACAGGGCCCTCGCAAACTTGCAAGACACGGCCTCTGGAATGGCCGCACGGCGTCATCCGCGACTGATTGCCTTCGTCATCTTGCACCCAAATGCCTCCATTTTTGAAAGAGGTGAGAGGCGCAACGTAGTTCAACGTGCCTTCCATGTTATTCGAGTCCTTGTGCATCGGAGTGCAAACGTTGGAATAAAAGGCAATTGTCGCGAAGCACGCACCTGGGAAACATTCCCGCAAGTACTTGACCGCAGCAGAGACAACACGAGGGAAAGCTCTGGTATGCTTCCGCAGACCACAGAGCTTGCTCTGGGAATAAGCTCCCGCAGTCCAAGCTTTCTCACGAGCATCATCAACGCCACGTGCTGGCACTTCGGCTGGTAGGGCCTCGAAGATTCTGACAAGGCCACTGGCATCTACCCTAGCATCAAGACTCGAGGCCAGCAACTCTGCTTCACACTCAGTCGCACATAGCAGCGAACCTGAACATCTCGGGCTTAAAGCTAATGGAGCAGCACCGCCTAGACCCGAAGGGGAAGAAGGGAAGGCGGGAGAACCACAAAGGGGAGGTGCTGCTCGCACATTAGATTGCACGCAAGGGGTCGTATCGGCATCGCAAGAAGGATGAACACTATCACCGGCAGCACCCACTAGACCCGAAGAGGAAGGGGGGGCACCGGCGAAACCACAAGGGGGGGGTGCTGCCTGCTGCACACCACCTGACATGTCCGAAGCGTCTGGAATGTGTTCGTCGAGCGATGCTTCGACCTGCGAAGCGCGGTGCAGCTGGTTGCAGATCGAACCTCCCCCCTGCTGCACACCACCTGACATGTCCGAAGCGTCTGGAATGTGTTCGTCGAGCGATGCTTCGACCTGCGAAGCGCGGTGCACCTGGTTGCAGATCGAACCTCCCCCCTCTACACGATCGGCAGCCAGCTGAGAAAGAGGCGGCACAAGCTTGGAACCAGCAGGCACAACAGTGTCCTGCACACGAAGAGTGGTCAGCAGCCTGTTCTTGGAGTCCAGAGGTGGACATTGCGGCACGGCAACTTGCACGAAACGCTTAAACTCGGGAACTGGGGCCAGAGGAAACCTGCGCGGTTGCATTCCTGTAGCAATCTGAGCTGCAGCAAGAGGGGACACCGGCGGAGTGCGAACATGCAGATGCTCAAGCATGACCGATGCAAGCGCACGGTAGAGCTGCCCCAGTGCAAGATCAGCGGAAGGCCTTTGGCGACTGGCAGCCGCCAAGTTTGCACAAGACCGAAGGACAAGTGGCAGGGAGGATGCAAAGCGAATGCAACCCGATGTTGGAGAGCCAAAGGCTTTAAGATCGATGTCGACGGAGGATTCAAGTAAGCTCTTACCAAAGTCTGTTGTCCAGAACGATGACCTCGAGGCAGCTTCCACCGTCCAAGGCGTCCCTGTATCATTGCAGTGTTTCAAAAGCTGGGAGATGGTGTACACACACCGCTCGGCATCGTCACAGGAAGGATGCGAAGATTTTTGACGATTTGGAAAGATAGAACGAGGGCACCTGATATGCACCCAAGCACACGAGGGTTCACGGGCCCAGGATGCGCAAAGAGCCAGACCACCCTGAGACAAAATGTCCATTGGAATGATCGGTGCCGCAGCTGCCTGTGAACAACCCTTGCCGACTGCAAAGGAATTTGGCAACCCCATTCGGAGAAAACCACACAAGCAGGCACGACGAGCAAAAATTTCAACGCAAAATGCGCCTGCACTGCAAAATTTGCCGCCGTCTGACGGCTGGCTGTGTTGTTGCACAGGTGCCTCACACTCTTCGGGAACAGCATAGCATGTGCAATGAGGTCACCTGTGCACACTGCCTGTCACTCAGAAGTGGCCGACTCATGCTTGGACATGGGATGAGATTTGTAACAGCCCGGCTTGCAACACACATGCTTGAACTTGCACTTCGCACCTGCCTTGCACTTTCCAAGGTTAAAGTTGAAACAGATGGGTTTGTTGTCGGGCGTCCGCGAGTGCATACCCTTCAAGGCGTCTGGTATCGGGTCGCGGGTAATCTTCAACTTCTTATTTTTGCCATCACCTGTTGTGTCATGAGTGCGCTTCCTTCCATTGCCTTTGTCGCCGGGCTTGCCGGAGCCCTTGCCCTTACCTTTGACAGGTAGCAAAAAGTACATGACCGATTGGTTGTACTCCAACTTCTCAAACTCTTTGTCGAGCGGGAGCACACCCTTTGCGTCAGGCTTCAGATTCCCATTGCACGTGCGAGCTAGCTCCAGAAAACATTGCCGGTCTGCCCTCAGCACCTGCGCTCTCGAGACCTTCTGGAACTCCGGTGGCGGGTCCTGGCTCATAATGCGAAAGAGCCGCTCATTCCACTTCTGTACCGTGTCATAAGAAGCCAAGCCAACAAGGTCCATGGCCAGTGCACGTCTCATCATGGCCTGATAAAGCTGCAAATCGCTGTCGACCGACATAGTGGCTAGGGCTTCCTCATCCTTCACTACAATGCCCATTTTGTCAGCATCGAGCTGCAAGGCTTTGGGGGGCTTCTCGCAGCAAAGCTCCGCATCACGGGTGATGCACTCACCGGGGGAGAGGTATTTCAACTCGTCGTTCTCGCGCATGTTTGCTAGCTTGTCATACACGCAGTGGGCTACGGACAAAGGGCCCTCCAAAGGTAGGCCCTTAAGGCGTTGCTTCTGATCCTCGATGCGCATTGAGCGCTCTGACGCCGGAAGCTTCCGGGACACCTCGTCACCGGACTGCATGGTAGCTCGGAGCTCTGCAACTGTCATGGTCTGAGCTTCGAAGATAAGCTGTTTTATCGCGGAACTGTCACCCAGAGTGACTCTCGCACCGGGCCTCAGAGTAGAAGTGAAGTTGTCCATCTCGTCAGCCGTAGGTTGCGTCCCTGGAAGCGAGGCCGCATAACTCAACTTACCCAGTGTCGTGATGCCTGAAGCTTGCATGGCGGCGATCCAATCCGCTGCCAATCCCACTCTCTCGCATTGCTTGTCGAAAGCTGCAGCCGAGGTAAGAATCGAAACCGCCGCCATCCCGCAAGGTCACCAAGCTCTACACCGCTGAAAAGTAGAATTTGTCAACAACGGTCCTGGCCTGTTCGAGAGAGAAGATGCAAGCTCCCTTGTCCGACTACGCACAAAGCTGTCGAAACACACGTGAACAAACGATAGCATGGACATGACATGTCTACCGTAGGCTTCAGCCATAACTGGTGCATTCACAAAGCTCATGAACTGGTGCTGACCATTGCCCAAGCACAGTAAGACACCAGCTAGACAGTGCATTCACTCATGAAGCACATGCTGCACACAGCATGGGCATATCCGACTGCACACAGTCGCACCCGCACATCGAGGACATTTTCATACGCAGCCCACACTAGCTACGATTCATAAGCTCGTTGAGCTTGTTGGCCAGAGCCCCTTGGGAATCGAGCAGTTCGCCCTTCCAGCACACCGCGCACCTAGTCCACTTAAAGTACGCACCCTCAAGCCACCTGTACACAGTGGTCGTCCGTCGACCACAACGGGTCCTGCGTGCGGACTTGTCACCCTGGGCGCGATGCAACATCCTAGATTTGACATGCTGCCAACAATGTTCGTTGATCTCATAATCCTGGCTGACTCCGCACTTCGAAACTAACTGTTCCTCAGTTTCGCTGGCCTCGGAAGAGCTAGAACAAGAAGAGGAAGACGAGCTTGCCTGCGACAGGGCAGCATCCTGCAGAGGTGTCGCAGGCACATTGCTTGCAGGCGGATCCGGAAACGGCGCGCGATCCCCAGGCATTGGCGACCGCACTGAAGGTGGGCTTGCTGAACCATTATCAACCCGGTCCCAAGAGCCGAAGTCCGGATCTTGCTCCAAGACCGAAGAGTCAGGGGCTCGGTTGAGCGAGCGGTAGTGCTCCAACTCGTCGTGTTCATCAAGCTCATGGCCTTGTACAGCACCGCTTGCCGCAGACTCTTGAGCTTGCACAGTCGGAGCATCGAGGGGGCACACATTCTTGACATCGTCAAGAAAAGAATCACGAAAGGCACGCAAATTCTCATCGCCTTGTGAGGCTAGCCATCCAGACCGGGTCGCATCGGGCTTGAAAATGTTTGTGCGGACCTCCCATAACATCCTACGGTAGGCTCTCAGCGGTGCGCTCAGTACTCACGGCTGTAACAGGCAAGGGAACTGGAGCCTGTAGCATGATGACCGAGCAGGAGGCCCTCGCGCTCTCCAAAGCCCCGTTTCCCTGTCCATGCCAAGCTTGTCCCTTTGAGCACATGAGACGTGCGACGGCTGTCACCTTCCAACCCTAAGGCGTTGCAAAGCATCGAGCCCGCTTCACTCGAGGTGCATCTCCTCTTACACAGCTTGCCGGAACTGTCCGGGGCACGTACGAGGGGCCCGAAAGGCACTTCCGACCAATCAACACCGAGCCTCTGACCTGCTTGCCACCAAGCCTTGACCCAGTTGGCATCGGTCACGCCTGGGAAGGGTGCTACAAGCGGCATGGCCCGACGCTTGGTCCGCACCGTGTTGCTGGTCTTATGTTCGCGGGTCCTCGCCTCAACGAAACCTGAGGTGCAATCAGCATCATCGAAGTCGATCCAGATCGAATTAATTTTCTTCAGGTGCGACCACCTCGACCTGCTGTAAAGAGCAAACAACTCGCCTCCAAGAACATATGTATCGACATCGCAAAGAGCCTCGCTAGCCACTGTCTTTTCAAGTTTCGCCACAAGCTCAACTTTCAAGGGTTCTTGTTGTTTAACCTCGGGTTTTTCACCAGCAAGTCTCCGGGCCCTGCCCTGCAGTCGTCGGTCGTTAAGCAGATCATCGCAGAATGGCACATCCATGACATGGTGAGCAAAATTGATGGCTTCAAAGAGACCGCTCACCGCGCTTGCAGACTCTCCGAGTGACTTCACGAAGGCAGTAACGGACTCTCTATCCCAAGGCCATGTCACACTTCTCTCCTTTTGATGCCACCTGACTGAGGCATCGCAACAAGGCATTGGCTCGTTTGATCACTGTCCGGGGCGAAAGCAGACCGAAGACGTCCCTGAGTAGTTCGTCCCTGGCTTTCTCACCTTCTGCAACCAAACACTGGGCTGCCTGCACACCGACTGAACCAGGATCCTCATGGGCAAGGGTGAAGATGCAACACCACTTGTTGATAGCTAAAACCCACAAATGCTCTTCCTCGTCCTCAACTGGCAGATCTGCACGCGCATGCTGGCAGGAGCAACACGCACGCGAGCTGCTTTGTCCTCGGACGGGGGTTCGGAACCGGAAGCCTCAGGAGGAACAGGAGCCCTGGGCTGTGCAATGGCAGGCTTCGGTAATAAGCCATCTCCGAAGATGCAAGACATGACACCGGATTCCCAAGGTAACCTAGGGAGAGAATTGCTTAGACCACTGATCCTGGCTTGAAGCAACATGCGATCAATGTCAGCGTCGCAGAGCCTCACCTCAACCCCCCCCGAAGAAGAGGAGAGGCCGGGAGAACCTGTTGCCTCGCCTGCAGGCGGCATTCGGTGAAGCGAAGTGGACGAAGGCACAGCAAACTAAGCCTAATCCTCAATGGAGTAATCTGAAGAGTCACTAAACCCGACAGGGCAGACCCAAAAGAGGCGATGCTGCTGTCGAAGCAAAGCACAGGTCACTCGCAAGGAGCGAGCGCGGTGAGTCCTCAGAAAAGCAACGATGCACTGCCAGAGCTCAGGCTGAGCGGCGACAAGCAGCAGAGCAGGCCCTCTTGGGCAGCCCGAGTCCATCCGCCGGTCACACGAGACCAGCTTGCACACCCTCTAAGAGGGAACGTCGAAAGAGGGGCCTGGTTAAAGCAGGAGCAGTTAGAGCCTCAGGCCCAAATTCACAGACAAAAATTTCTCCCAAGCTGCACACAGCCGAAACTGCAACGTCGAAGTGAATGTTGAGCAAGTTGCCAAACAACACAATGCCTCAAGTGACGTAAACACGTCGCCGGTAGTCTGCAAAATAAAACAGCAAAGGCGACACCGACAGAAAATAGTTTGGGAAATAAAATGCAGAAGGCTTATTTATTTGCATTTACCTCATCCTAAGGTTTAGCTTTAATTTACGTTTCAATCACCTTTTATTCACCTTTTTAAGTTCAGGAATCACCTCGCTCTCTAAGCAACCGGCATTACAATGCTAGAGCAGTGCTAGTCCTATCAGCACCCGAGATTCAGTAAATGTTGCAGGTTTCTTTGCGTGTGGCTTTCTGAGTTCATGGATATGAATGCTGCATTTTTGTGGTTCTGAAGGTATTCGAAGATGTTCGCCATATCAGTAGTCCGGGTTCAAGCTCAGGTGAAGATCCGGCTCTCTGCGTCCTTGGTGTGGTTCTGGGTCTCTGCGTCCTTGGTGTGGTTCTCCTTGATCTCTGCGTCGTCGGCGTGGTTCTCCTCGGTCTCGGCGTCGACCTCGTAGCCGGTCAAGTCCTCAGCATAGTCCTCGTACGTTTTCTCGCTTGCGCTGTGTTCTGTGGGCTGCTGCAGTGACGCCGCCTCGGAGGAACAGGTACTCGCGCAGCCCGGCCCAAGCCCTGTGAAAGTCTGTGAAAGTCACCTGGTTTCCCACTTCCAAGGTGAGTCGCCACCGGGTGCCGAGGATGGCGGCGTAGCACAGTGCACCCGTCACAGCCAAGCCGCCAAACACGTACAGGCAGTCACCACCAAACATTGCCATGATATAGCCAACCGCGTAGCTGGTGTCGAGGAAGATGCGGATTGCGTAGACCAACGTGACCAGGATGTCGTAGAAGGTGCCTGCCCGGTCTCATCGGTGCAGTTCTGGAGCTGCATAGCCAGCAACGTTTGGACCATCATCAACACCTTGCGTGTGTGGTTGGGGATGTTGTTGCGCTCGTCGGTCCCATTGGCCAGCCTGTTTCCACCTGAGTCGACCATGCCCATGATGCCGCACAGCACCTTGATCCGATTGCCGGCCAGCACCTTGGTACCTGCATCAGCGGGGTTCGTGTCCGTGAGGATGGCCAAGACTCGGAGCTCCTTGGCAGCAATCACGTCTGGATCCAAAGGCATGACGTCTGAAGGTGACGAACACGCCCCACACCAGCCCGCTGAGCAATTGCACGGGCCACGCTCGAATCTGTCCTTCGCCGTCGACGATGAAGGCCCAAGCCTTCTTAATGAGCACCGCCTCGGAGACCACTTGCGTAAGCGCCACCAACTCCGCCTCGCCGCTGGAAAGCGTAACAACCTTATTTTCCTCGGAGCTTTGCTTTGTTTCGTATCGGACATTCCAATCATATTATTCCCAAAGCTATGTGGGAAAACAGAATATATAAAACATAAGAAAATTGCTCAAGCAGAGGAGACGCCTTTCCCTTCCGGCAAAGCCGAAGGGGGAAGTCGTGACATCCCCGCACCGATCGATGGCGAACACGATGGATCGCCGACGAACACCCCAATCACTTAAGAAGGTGATCAATCGTGGCATTGCCATTAATCGGACGACGAGGCGACACTCTGCACACTCTCCCCCTTACAGGAAAACTCGCCTTAGCACGAGAAGGAGGATCGGCTGGATTGCTTGCACTCGGAACTCGGCTGAACCAAGGCAGCATTGCATCCGAATCGCAGCTTTCAAAGATCAACAAGAGCTGCCTCCACAAAGAGTCTTTCGAAGAGCCTTTCACCAAGGAGGCGAGCACTCCAGCGTGGTCAACATACATGGTCACACTCTGCATGTTCAAGTGCTCTGCCCAAGCCTCTCTAGCGCATACCACTGTACACATCTCAACTATGCCTATAAGATGCCTTTTCCCGAGAGCCTCCCAGCTCTGCACAACGCTCAAGGGGATAGCACATGCAAAGTAGAAAGTGCATCATTAATCACAACACCTTGAGCGAATCTCAATCCGCTCCTACCCTCAAGCCTAAGTCTGAAACGACTTTTTGTTCCTTGCGAAATGGAGTTGAAGCCACCCTCAGCGACAAGGCTTCAGCGGCAAATCCCGAACATTTGAAGCACCAAAGAAGCTTAAAAATTCTTAATGGAAGAGTAACCCAGCTGTCTTGTGGTGGGCCCGGCACCGGCCACACGACACAGCCACTAGAATTTTGTCCGGTTGTTCTGCCAAGTCTCGGGTTTTTCTTGATGTGTGACGCGGCTCCGGTTTAACTGGGAACACAAGTGGCATCTTCTCGAGTAGTCTAGCTATTCTTCAGTGGCCAAAATTTTGTAGAGATTACCAGCCTGCCATGACAACCGGTGAATCCGTGAACATGGAGTGGAGGGAGGTAACATTGGCCGGCCAGCAGTCACCAGCCCGTATGGCTCCGTTATCAAAATGATACAGGACTCCCCCGACGGTCGCCAGGTATGAATCATTCGACGGCTCATACTGCACGCACCATCTGTGAAGATCACTGAGCGGCGAGCGGCGAGACCCCACACAGGCCGGAACTGTCCTAGGGGTACCCCCAAGAACCCGGGCCCTTGAGGTTATGAAGGGCCTGCACGGCCGTGGAACTCGTAGTGCAAGCTCTAAGGTCAGAGAAAGCTAATCTTCCCAGTCGCCCGTGCAGCGACCGAACAAAGAGGGCAGGATCTTCGGATCAAGACGGGGTCCACTGCGGCAGCAGTGGAAGCGGCAAGCCCAACTATAACCACCTCGAAGCTACCCAAGTCAACTCTAACTCCCAGAAGCTCGGCTTCATGGCTGAAAGGCAGGTCCTTGTCTTAGGCCCATGTGAAGCCCAGCAGATCCAAGACTTTGACAGTCGACTGCGTGTTGTTACACAACTGGATAGTCATCAAAATAATTGCAGGCAAGCACCTGCAAGGTGACTAGAACCCTCTGGAGCAGCCTGGCAACGCGATTGAACGAAACCACCGATGAGGTGGCTCCAAACAAAGAGTTCGGCTCTCCAAGTGAAAGGCAAGAGCCGAAACCTGATCCTTGATGGCCACTGTGCTCAGAGCGATCCTGGAATGAAACCGCCACCTTAAAACAAGCGCTCTTTAAAACCGCTGTTTTCAAGCTCGGCTGAAGCGCTTGAGGCCTCAGGGCCTTGCACAGGGAAGCGAAGGTGGCTGCCGTCCGACAACGATCGCAAGGCCCACCAACATAGTGAGGGCCCTTAAAGAATCCAGTCGGATACAGCCATTGGGTTACAGGCTTCAAGCTCGTTCCACGAGTAAGATCCTGTCAGCCGCTCCTTGACTCCGATCTCTCCAAGAGAGATCAATCTATGCACTTGACATCTTTGCTCGAAGCGTCTGAGAAATTTTGCAGACTTGTGCGCACGACGTACGAGTCATGGCCGGCTTTCTGCAAGTCAAATCTTCCAGCATCAGCAACAGACAAGAATGCAGCCTTAGAACTCCGTTCAGAAGCGACCGCGGAGTGCGACAAGCACAAAAGACACCAGAACTGCAAGTGGAAAGTGCGAACATGGAACGGCGACAACGCGGAAGTGAACGAGAACTGCAAGCGAAAAGAAAACTCGAACACGGAACGCGGCGACAGCTCACAGGTGGAGATTTGGGGAGCTCCAAGATCCGCGAGAGATGGAGGTCCGGGAAAAATCAAGGTCCGGGAGATAAGCTCCGAGCTCATTTCGGCCGCAGATTGATTTTTGCAGGATGTTGCGCATCATGTGCTGCCATAAGTGTTTTGCAACCTGCGGAGCTTATCTGTTCCGACCCTCTTCCCTTCACCTTCTTTCACCCGCGCCGCGGTCCAAGGTTGAGTCTCAAGCGCATACGTCACCCTGCTACTCTGGGACTACGCTGCTAGAAGCGCCTCGCCAGCTTCCAGCATGCCAGTCGCCGACACATCGCAAGCTTCCATGGTGCCAGTTGCCGGCACCTTTTCCTTGGCCGCTCGGTCTGTGAAAACACAGCAGCAGCGCTGAACCCTCTTTTTCTCACGGCTTGAGCCAAAGTCAGCAGCCGGAGGCTTTGTCTGTGCAACTTGGCCACAGATATTCCATGTGCCATCGCACTTCAAGTGAAGCTGAAGAAACGGATGCACTTTTCCACTACACTTTGGGCCTCGCGATCAACCGTGCAAACGGAATCACACATGTACTCATGCCATGCGGAAAACGTTCAAAAGCACTACGCTAAGGTAGGGTAAAACAGGGTACGTTGGGGCAAAACAAAGTTCATCACCCCGCCCGATAGACCATGTACTCCGACATTGGTCAATCGATTGAACTTCTGTGGCCAACAGGACTGCTTGTACGCTAGCCAAAACAATCCAAACAACGACGCACACTCCTAGGTGCTTTACCACGTACGTGGCCACAGGTACCCTTGTGAAAGCAAACTCCACGTGTCGTTACGAACACTTCTTCCGGCACCTGTACAACTAAGGCCGCTGGGTTTTCCAGAACTCTACCTCCATGGGCCACTAAAGGACCCTCATGTGGCCTCGAATGGACCACAACGCATTGGGCTCTCAATTTTCTGTTCTCATTCCACAGAGCACCGCACGTGATCATCAATGCCAAGCTCGCGTACTGCTCAGCACTCACGCCCTGCATGAAGCCGATAAGCATAAAGGCAAATGCAAAGCATTGCATAACATAGCCATTCACATCCAAAGCTTGCGGTGCGTACTGAAAATCAATGCTCAAGCGCAAAGTCGAAAAGTCGTTCAGGCCCAAGGCCCGTGCAGCGAAAAGCGCCACCAAAAGAACCATGCAAAGTGGAAACATGTAGCTCGCATATCCACCACTCACCGTAGGGGCAGAAAGCTTTGTCGCATCAGTCAAAAGCGGCATCAAGTTGCACATGACCATGAAGATGTTCGAATGAAGCTTCGTGGAAGTATTCACGCTCTTCTTTACCCTCTTAATCTGCGCCTTCACATACTCTTGTTGTTGCATCTGCTCATATTCGAACTTGCCGATTCGCTCATCACTTGAAGCATCAATGAAGTTGTGCATGTACATCAGTGAGCGCAACCTGGCCTTTGCCAGAGCCTTGGTCCCAATGTCACCAAGGTTGTATGCCGAACTCACCGGCATCACCTTGAAGACCTGACGCTTCACATAATCCTGTATCCATAACAATCTCCCCGCAATGTGCTTTGCCTGCTTTGCCGCACCTTGGCGCTTAGCCAATGCCCTAGCAGATTGATTATCAAGCAACACGTGCATCACTGAAGATTGGCCTGAGATGAACTCCCAGACTTCTCGAATGAATAATGCATCGCAGCATCCGGACACACAGGCATACCACTCGCTTTCCATCGAGGAGAGGGACACTGATCGTTGAGTCCTCGTGGCAAAGTAAACCACCGCACCATTGATGCAATGGGTGGCTGATCCAATTGACTTGCGATCGGCCTTGCTGTGCTACCGCTCCAATCGGCATCCGTGAAGCACTCCACCAGATCACTGCCTGCGCTAACACATCCATGCAACATAGAGGTCCCAGGCTCCCCGGGTTCAAGATGCAATGCATATGAGGATGTGGCCAACATGTACTGGGTCAATCGAATTGCAGCACGCCATGCCAAAGCAGTCGGACGTGTCATCACAGCAGAGAGCTTTCTGACGCTGTGTGCAATGTCTGGCCTGTCGGCCGAAATATAAAGCGCAATCCCGATCACTGATCTGTACTTGGATGCTTGCTGCTCGGACAACACCTGTGACGTGTCATGCCCACTGAACTCTGCAAGATCTGGGGTTTGAGCCGTCCCACCACGAATTTCAAGAATCTTTGCCATGCTTCTCGCATACTGATCACTGATCGCAATCTTCATGCCGGTCTCAGTCAGCGTGTGCACTCGTTTGAGGAAGCTGATTTGATCACCGACGCGGTACGCAATCTCCACTGTAGCCTGGAATCGTGATTTTATCAGCGGTACCAGTGTATCATGCAACCATGTCAAAGGACACAGAACCAAATTATCATCCACGTGTAGCATCAAAGGCCCTTCCTTAGTTTTCATCACCGCTGGACTCACCGTACACGTCTCCAGGGTAAGACCTTCATGAAGGAAGTTGACATAAAAGTCAAACCAGCGCTGTGCACCGTCCCGCTGACCAGGGATACAACGCAGGAATATGTACCGACCACTACCGGAATAATCCCGAGGTAAATCTGCTAAAACCGGTTCCACCTGCGGCACCTCTAAATACGCGTCCTTAATGTCGATGGCAGCCAGCGCAAAGACGGTGCCAGGGCGCGTCATGCGCCACATGAGAAACAAAAGGGGGATCAGTCGCACCACTGAATTCGAAGTGGATGGCGAAAAGAGACCTTCACGCGTGGCCTCAAGCCATCTATATTCCCGGGCTACCAACCTTGATCTTCTCAACCACATTGCCTTGCCACCTTTGCGTTTGCTACTCCAACTGCGCACCATTTTGGTGCTCAATCGTTTCATGCCCTGGGTCTCTTCATCGCCGCGGACCGGCCGAATCACTTGCTTCTGGGACAACCTTGAAATCTCAACCTCATCGGCTATGCCCTGTGGTTCCTTTGCCGGCGGGGCCGAATCCGGCCCTTGGGCAGATCGATGTCGAGATGCTTCGTACTCCTGAGGCGATGCTGCCGCCACTGGGTGATACGGCCCAGGGTTCGGCGGGGAGTCGTGATGGACCTCCGGAGGCAGGTGGTGATCGGAAGCGCATTCGTATCAGAGCAGTGCAGTTTGGCAGCTACAACCTTGATTATCATGATGAAGATGTGAGCCTTGATTATCCTGAGCTTGAGTGTGGTGAGCTTTGTGAACAAATCGAAGCAGAGATGGAGAGTGAAGTCGCAGCGGCAGGTGAGGACGTTGTGAGTGAGGGCACCGCGGCTCCGAACGTACAGGGCCCTCTGAGTGATGCATCACTTCACGCGTGCGTGTCGATGTTTTATAGATCCTAGGTCAAACGAAATTTTGTAGGGAGCAAAATTTTGGGCCATGACAATCTTTGCGCTACTCTTAGTAGTGCTTTACAATCCAGACTTTTAACAACTTTCAATCGCTGTTGCATGATTTCGTTTCTCCTGTCGAGCAACGATTTTTAAACCGTGCGATAAAACAAACACCTGGTCACGATTGGATCTGCAACCATCGAAGCTGTCTCGAGATCGAGCCTCAGGTCCGATTTGCAGACTTTGGAGGAGTCCCTTGCGCGCGTCTGGGTGAACCAGACGGGTCATCACCAACGCCTCTCGTGGCTTGAGGGGATCATCCAGGGATTGCGCAACGCCTGCAGAGCCTTTCTTGAACCGCGCGAGCAGTCTGCTTGAGGGAGCCGTAGTGAAATGGGGGATGAAGGAGGCTCCCTTGCATCCAGTTTTGGCCTTCATCTTAGATCTTGCTTGCGAGACTCCAAGTCAGTGTGGAAGACTCCTTGGGGGAACTCGTTTTTGGCCCATGACCCTAAGCCCCGCCTGCCGCCTCCTCTTGGACCTCTGCCCCTTGTAGTCCCGGTGAGCCCCTCTGCTGATCAGCCGGCCGTGCCGATCCCTCGCTTCGTGAGGTCGGAAGGGCTTGAACAGGTGTGTGCCAAGATGGCCAAGTTCAAACACACTTCTTGGGAGGTTATGATCAACGAGGAAAGAAATCTTGCCGTGAATAAGTGGCTCAGCCTGGTCATGGTCGAGCCCTTGACCTTCGGTGTAGCTAGGAACTTCTACGCCGGCAAGGCGTCGGGGATCTCTTCGGGATCACTTGCTGACAGCATTTCGGATTGCCTTGCTGCCAAGGCCACTTCGACGATCAATGCCAGGGCTAATTGCTTGTTGCGGTTTGTTTCTTGGGCAAAGGGGAACATGCCGTTTGTTTTTCCCTTGACCGAGCACGCTGTATATGCATACTTCGAGGAGAAGAAATCGACAGCAGCCGCGACATCGTTCAGGAGCCTTCTTTCTTCCGTTGCTTTTGCTCAGCATGTGGTGGGCCTGGAAGGGTGTGACAAGGTTTACACTTCGGGTCGCGTCCGCGGCCTTGCGTCGAAGCTTTTCATGCAGAAGAGGAAGCTCAAGCAGCGGAATCCCCTCAGGGTCTCCGATGTCATTCTTCTTGAAAGGATTTGCTGCAAGCTTGAGAACAGGTCTTTGCAGGACCGCATCGCTGCAGGCTTCTTTCTTTTCTTGATCTATGCAAGGGCTAGATACAGTGACGGGCAAAATGTAGCATCGCTGACTGACTCGCCGCTCTACTTGGAGTGCAGTGTGGGCAGGTCCAAGACGAGTTTCACTTTGGAACGCAAGACCAGGTACTTGCCGATGGCTGCCAGGAAGGTGGGCGTCAGTTGTGCATGGGCCGATGCTTGGCTTGAGGCTATGGCAGAAGCGGGTCTTACGATCAAGAAGAACGACCCGCTGCTCCCCTGCCCTTCCTCGAATGGTTCTTGGAAGATGGTCCCGCTTCCGTGTGATCAGGCGTGCTCGTGGCTCAGGAGCCTGCTGGGGAACGCTCAGAGCGATCCCTACCTTGCGAATGTGGGAACACATAGCCTTAAGAGAACTTTGCTGAGTTGGGCAAGCAAGCGTGGTCTGCCCAGAGAACAGAGGGCCCTCTTGGGGTATCATACGTCCCGAGCCTCGGGTGCGGGATCAGAGCTGATCTATGAGTCCGATGCCCAGTCGGCTCCGCTCAGGGCTTTGTCATCTATGATCGACGAGGTCTCGTCCGGGACTTTCAAGCCTGACAAACCAAGGGGGCAGCAACTTGCTTCCGAGCTGTCGGCAACTGCCGACCCCCCTGGCGATGAGATCGAGTCGTCAGACTCTGAGGGCTCCGAGGACGAGGAGGAGATCGACCACTCAGGAGACGAGGCTTGTGCTGCTGAGGCTTTGGACTGGCATGGGAAGGTCGATCTCGACAAGATTGATCCCTCTTGTGTCTTCTTTCGGCATCGCCAATCCAGGGTAGTGCACATCACTGCCGACGAAGCCGGTGCCAACCTGGGCTGCGGTAGGACCATTTCGGGTCAGTACAGGAAGCTGGAGGCGCGACCCGCAATTTTGCATCCAAGGTGCAAGCAGTGCTTCAGGAAGTACTTGATTGTGCAGCAGGGCACATGACTCTGCATCCGGCTCGTGTCTGCAATTTTGTGCAAAATGGTGATGCCGTGCACGTGCGCTCCACAAGCCGGTCAAGTGCTGTCATTAAGGGAATCGTGCAAGAGCGGAGATCTGGAGGGTGTCGTGTCCTGCAAGAGAATGATTTGATGCAGAGCAAAGCCCTCCTGCAGCTGCTTTCAGCTCGTAGTGGTCCAAGCGGCACACCATGGCGGCCTTCTCCGAGTCGGGGCCAGTGTTCAAATCACGATGTGCCCAGGTCGGTTTGACATCTGCGGATGTCGAAAAACTCGAGAAGGTGGGTGTGGATTCACTCGCAAAGGTCGCTTTCATGACGAGCTACACGCCGGGCTCTGGCGATGACAAGGACCTCATCGCGGCGTTCGAGTCGGCCCTCGGGACGCCGCCCTCTGTAGGGCAGAAAAGCTCCTTCCGAAGGTTATTTCATGAAGCATATGCTGTTACCACTTCGGAAATGAAGATGCTTGTGGAGCGGACGGATGAATCCATCCCAAGAAAATTGAGCGTCCCAGAGAGATCTGAGCGGTTCGAGGTAGTGAGCAAACGCCTTGTGGGCCTTTCGATCAAGAATCGTCTTGAGCCTGCTGATAGCCTCGTCGACTCCTTCGTGTCGCAGTATGAGCAGGACAAGTTGCAGTTTGTCCCGTGGGAGAAGCTTGTTTCCAAAGAACAAGAGGCCTCAACAGGGGCAAAGCGAGAGCCTTTCTTCTCGCTGGACAGTACGGGCAAGCTCAGGTCGGAGACGAAGGTTGAGGTCCGTGCCGACACTAGCACGGAGCTGCTCTTGCAGCTCGCGCTTCAGAGGCGCGGCATCGCTATGGAAATGGCGAACATCCTTGACTACCATCGTCACCACATGTGGGTCGAGCGCCTTCTTGCAGCGCGCCTCGACGCACCTCCGTCGACGCACATGCAGCCCACACTTGATCAGTGTCAGCAGGCTGATAGGAAGCTTTGGCAGCTTCTCGGAGAAGCGACTCGCTCAGGCATCCAGCTCAAAGCTGGGGGGCGTCCATTGGACACCATCTTCGAGAGCACGTGGCAGTCACCAGAGGTGCTTCATCTGCTTCAGCCGATGCCTCGGGCAGCAGGCGCTTCAGTCACGCAGCAGGTGGCACCGCCGCCGAGGCCGCACGGGCCGGGCCCGTATGATCGTCCGGGCAAAGGCCGGAAGGGCACAGGGAAAGGTGCCAAGGGCACCAAAGGCAGCGGGAAAGTTCCTGCCGCTCTTGCGGGCTGCAGATCTTGCACCAATGCAGGTGAAAACATATGTTTTGGGTATGGACTCAAAACGTGCAGGGAAACTGTGACTCGTGGTCGCTGCGTGCGCGGATTGCACATCTGCGCATGGCCCAAGTGCGGCAAATCGCATCCTGCACTGGACTGTCCGATGCGTGCTGAGGCTCTTAGCCAAAAGCAAGAGTGACAGTCGAAGAGCGAGCCTGGCAGCTCGCAGTTCTCGACTCAGAGTCGAGACAGCCCAGGCTTGGCTGGGCAAAGTTTTGCACCACCGCAGGCTCCGCCTGCGCCGAACAGTTCTCCTTCAGCAGTTCTTGATCCGTGTCAGCAGAGTGCTAGTATGGATTCGAACAAGTTTTCTTCACTTTTGCAATTGCTTCGAAGCGCCAATTGGCCCGACTCTGTGCTGCAACGCAAGTCTGTTTCTTCGGTTAACCCCACGCAGTCGGGGTACTACAACTTCGGGCCCAGAGCCAGCTGTCCCCATCTTCTTACAAACGCCACGCTGCAGATGCGAGAGTTTGTCCAGCAGCTGAATTCAGCCGTCAAAGCACTTGTGCCTCAGGCGTCCTGGAATGCAATCTGTGTGGGCCAGAATACGCTGTCGGATTTTCACAGGGATTCCGGCAACCAACGGGGTTCTTTGAACCATACCTTCTCGCTGGGCACCTTTCAAGGCGGCCAGCTCTTGCAGCAGGCACTTCCGCGGCCACGAGTCCCACAGGCGGGCAGATCCGGGGCAGAGTTGTGGACACTTTTTGCAACCCCACTAGTTTTTCTTGCGACTTGTGGCATAAGACAATGCCTTACACAGGTGAGCGATGGGTCGTGACACTTTATACTTTATACTCTTTCAGGTGGGCAACCTTCCGAGTTGCTCCCGTTGGGCTTTCCGTGTGGATCCGCCGCTGTGACTTCGCAGTCTACTGGCGCGCAATCTCCGCCCCAGCCTGCCACTTCTGGGCCTAGCCCTTCGGTCTCCGTCCCTTTGGGTTCTAGTCTCCCCCCGCCCGCCGACCCGCCTTGTAAACGCTTGAAATCCCAGGATGCCAAGGTGTCGCCTTCGCGGCATGAAAAGCCTTTGTTCTTAGAGATTTGTAGCGGGTCGGCTATGCTGTCTTATGTCGCCAAGGAGGCAGGCTACACTGTTGTGCCAATCGATTGGCATCACAACAAACAACGCTCATGTGTACATGCTCTGCAGCTTGATCTCCGCCTCGCCAGCACGTGGTCATTCTTGCGGCGCATTTGCTCAGAATACCATGTCGCTTGGATCCACATGGCCCCTCCATGCGGTACTGCAAGCAGGGCTCGCGAATGTGGGCCCGGTCCTAAACCGCTTCGGTCGCATCATCATGTGCGTGGGCTCCCTGGCCTTTCACAGGTAGATCAAGCTCGCGTTGAGAGTGCCAACTCCATCTACGACAACATGGAGTCCTTCTGCGACTGGCTGCTTCGATCCATGCCTCATATCCCGTTCTCTGTTGAGAACCCGTTGCACAGCTACCTTTGGCAATTCCCGAAGTGGGCCGCAATGGTCCAACGGCACTCCTTTGTCACATTTGACTCGTGCCGGCACGGCTCGCAACGCAAGAAGGCCACGGCCCTTCTCACCAATTCTGACTTCCTGCACTGCCTTTCGGGACCCTGTCCCGGCTGCTCCTCGCATCTCCCATGGGGTAAGCAAGGTCGCACCTTTGCAACCGCTGCAGCGACAGGGTATCCTAAGCTTCTTTGTGAACGGATCATCTCCTGTGTGGACAAGTCGGCCACCTTGCAGGGCATTGCGCCGGACCGACTGACTGTTTCAAAGGTCTCTGCTGCACGCGCCGCTGGTCAGGTGCAGCCAAGGGGGCGAAAGTTCCCACCGATCATTTCTGAATTTGCTTATACCGTTTCCGTTGGCAGCGCGGCAGCCCCCACTCTCAATTCCAAACATTGCTTGTCATCTGCATGGAACGGCGTCCCTGCAGGTTCAAAGCTCCTCCGGGAGTCAGTGGAGAGGGGAGGTTCGCGACTCCCTGAGGGCAACAAGTTCTACGTGTTCGGAGTGTATCGGTCCATGCAGGCCTTCTTGAACGAAGCAAAGCTAGTCGTGCATCCGTTTGATTCCGCCAGGTCACTCCCAGATGAACTTTTGCGAGTCTTGTTCGACACACCCACTAAGGGTCCGGTCGATACGATGAAACATCGCCTTCTTAAGCTGCAGCACTGGCGTGCCCTTGCCAAACAGCTTGAGCCCGAAGAAGAGAAAATCAGGTCGGCCATGGATCCGTGTGTGCGGAAGGTCCTCGGCAACAAGCGTATAGCGCTCATGAAGAGCGTTGCTGCAGAATTGTCGTGGCCTGACACCACTCTCTTCGACGACCTTGCCGCCGGTTTTAAATTAACTGGTTACTTAGGGCGCACGGGGGTCTTTGCTAGTGACGTTAAGCCTGCCACGATGGACCTTGATGAATTTTGGTCGAGCGCCCCGCTTCGCAGGGAAACTCTTCTTGAAAAAGTCAAGGGCCAAAAGGACCATGACTATGCCGAGGAGCTCTGGAACATGACGCTTGAAGAGTCCGATAAGTCTGGGAAGAGCTGGCTTGACGGCCCGATCGATGTCGACTCTCTGGGGAGCATGTTCCCCGACGGTTGGAACGCCTGCCGGCGTTTTGCAGTCTGGCAGGGCAAATGGCGTGCCATTGATGACTTCTCGGAAGCTGCGGTGAATGCGTGCTTCGGGTGTTTTGAACGCGTCACTCTCAAAGCTCTTGATGAAATCTGTTGGCTGTGCATGCAAGTTTTCCGCGCCGCTAAGAAGTCGGGCTTTCTTGATCTGGAACTCAGCTCGGGTGAGAGACTCAGGGGGCCTGTCCATACTGCGTGGAAGGACCTCGACCGTGTTCGTCCTCACTGCAAGACATATGACCTTCATGCTGCATACAAGCAGCTTGCGTTGCACCCTGGGGAAAGGTCGAAATCCATTATCCTGCTCCGGGAGCCCGGCTCCCGCGCTGTCAAGGCCTTTGTGTGCAATACTCTGCCCTTCGGGGCTTCGGCCTCGGTTATGCAGTTCAACAGGGTGGCGTTATTCTTGCAAAGGGTTCTTTGGGATCTGAGGGTAGCTGTGACTTGCTACTACGACGACTTCCCGACGATGACTCCCTCTTTCTTGTCGGGCGGAACGGACAATGCGGTTCATGCCCTCATGGACTTGTTCGGCTTCTCCTTGTCCGAGAAAGAGAAGCCGTTCTCATGCACCGCAGAAACTTTGGGTGTTGTGCTAGATACGTCTGATCCTGACATGGGGCACATCTTCGTATCGAACAAGCCTGAACGGGCTGCCATGCTCGAGGGGTCCGTAGGCCGCATCCTCGAACAAGGCCAGGTGGACACGAGGGAGCTGCCTTCCCTCCTTGGTAAACTTCGCTTTGCGGATGCTCAGCTGCTCGGTCGCACGGGGCGCCTGGCCCTTGCTGACCTTAGGCTCCTAGGCGATAAAGGGGGTGTCCTTCAGCTGACTGACTCACAATCGAATGCCTTGGCCGTTCTGAGGGCGAGACTTCTTGCGAGCAGACCCCGCGCCATTGCTGCGAGCCCGCCTTCGAATCCAGTCCTCATCTTCACAGATGGCGCATGCGACCCGTGTGAGGGCGGCTTCACCACCGGCGTTGGAGGTGTCATCTTCATTCCCAGCAAAGGGGTGGCCAGGGCTTTCGGCTGCAGGGTTCCGGGCAAGCTTGTCAAGCAATGGGCCGAGGGCAGGAAACACATTATAGGGCAAGTCGAGCTTTACGCGGTCGTGCTCGCCAGGATCTTATGGTCGAGTTACATCGATGGCGAAAGGTGCTTATTCTTCGTCGACCATTCCGGTGTGTTGAGTGCCTGTATCAACTCGAACTCGATCGATGCATCTTGGAGGAGCCTTCTCCTCCATCTGGAGGCTGCCGACGAAGCACGCCCGTGCTTGCCCTGGTTTCATCGTGTCCCGAGCCAGAGCAACATCGCAGACCCACCGTCGCGTGGCAGATGGGACGAATTGTCGTTCCTTGGACCTTTCACTCGTGATACGCCGGCATGCTTTGTCACAGGTGAAACGCTTGAAGCAACGTAACTCATAGTCGAGAGGGGGGAGAATTGTGGTCACGTTGCACTCCACGTGCGACCTGATCAGCTGGCACGCTTGGTGCCTCGACTTAGGTGGAGGGGCACTCTTAGTGCCTCGTGCACACGTGTGCACTTGTGTTTTCCGTGAAAACTCCCCTTGACTCTCGGCTGTGCCGTGAAAAGAAGTGTGAGCGTCTCTGCATCAATTTCTTATCGCTTGTACATATTTGGCCTGGACCAACATATATGGTCAACAATTCTTTATATGATTCAAGTCGGAGATATTTGATCGAGACTTCTATTCTTGATACAAATATTTGATTGTCATGGATGACCGGATCTATAAGCATCACTTCACGCGTGCGTGTCGATGTTTTATAGATCCTAGGTCAAACGAAATTTTGTAGGGAGCAAAATTTTGGGCCATGACAATCTTTGCGCTACTCTTAGTAGTGCTTTACAATCCAGACTTTTAACAACTTTCAATCGCTGTTGCATGATTTCGTTTCTCCTGTCGAGCAACGATTTTTAAACCGTGCGATAAAACGGACACCTGGTCACGATTGGATCTGCAACCATCGAAGCTGTCTCGAGATCGAGCCAGAAATTTTTGATCCCACCCAACCCGCCCTGGGGGGGAGAATTGTGGTCACGTTGCACTCCACGTGCGACCTGATCAGCTGGCACGCTTGGTGCCTCGACTTAGGTGGAGGGGCACTCTTAGTGCCTCGTGCACACGTGTGCACTTGTGTTTTCCGTGAAAACTCCCCTTGACTCTCGGCTGTGCCGTGAAAAGAAGTGTGAGCGTCTCTGCATCAATTTCTTATCGCTTGCACATATTTGCCTGGACCAACATATATGATTCAAGTCGGAGATATTTGATCGAGACTTCTATTCTTGATACAAATATTTGATTGTCATGGATGACCGGATCTATAAGCATCACTTCACGCGTGCGTGTCGATGTTTTATAGATCCTAGGTCAAACGAAATTTTGTAGGGAGCAAAATTTTGGGCCATGACAATCTTTGCGCTACTCTTAGTAGTGCTTTACAATCCAGACTTTTAACAACTTTCAATCGCTGTTGCATGATTTCGTTTCTCCTGTCGAGCAACGATTTTTAAACCGTGCGATAAAACGGACACCTGGTCACGATTGGATCTGCAACCATCGAAGCTGTCTCGAGATCGAGCCAGAAATTTTTGATCCCACCCAACCCGCCCTGGGGGGGAGAATTGTGGTCACGTTGCACTCCACGTGCGACCTGATCAGCTGGCACGCTTGGTGCCTCGACTTAGGTGGAGGGGCACTCTTAGTGCCTCGTGCACACGTGTGCACTTGTGTTTTCCGTGAAAACTCCCCTTGACTCTCGGCTGTGCCGTGAAAAGAAGTGTGAGCGTCTCTGCATCAATTTCTTATCGCTTGTACATATTTGCCTGGACCAACATATATGGTCAACAATTCTTTATATGATTCAAGTCGGAGATATTTGATCGAGACTTCTATTCTTGATACAAATATTTGATTGTCATGGATGACCGGATCTATAATATGAGCAGCTACAGGAGCTGTTGTGGTACCCGGATGACGGGACCGGGCCGCCGAAGCTTAGTGATTTTGAGCTTGGCAAGATTGACAGCCAATACCGCACCATCCGGGGGCACACTGGGTTGCACACTGACTGCTGCGCCTTCGCTTGAAGGCTCTGCCGGCCCTGGGCCCACAGGCCCAGGAGAGGAACCCACATCACCTGGCACGGGTGTCGGCGGATCTGAAGCCGCCTCGTCCGCCACTTGTGGCGCCAATGTTGGCGCAAGCTGTGGCCTGCGGGTGCGCGCAGGCGGGACCAACCTCGTTCCAACCGCTCCTGCCGAGTAGTCCCATGGAAAGCCAGCCAATCCCTGATACAGCGGCTTGTCCAACATCCAAGAAGAAGTTGTTCTATGCACTGACCGACACAATCTCACTCCAGCTCTCGTGGTAACAATGTACATGTCGTTGGTTGTTGTTTTGCTGAGGAAAATGCATCGAACCCACCTAGGATTTCCTTCCTTCTTCACCGTGATTTGTCCAAACACCGGCTCGCCAAAAGGAACCAATCGCCCATTGTAGCGAGCATTTGTCGCCCGCTCGTAAGCAGTGAGTCCTCCCACCGCCGCGAATCGATTACGGGTCCACCCAGCATGAACAAAGGACCAGGCGAAAAGAGGATGATCAACACCAAAGTCCACGCCGACCCGCTCGCGAACCATGCTCATCATTGTGTTTGCTAGTCGCCTGATAACATCTACCGCCTTCTCCACTGCCCCATTCGAGGCGTGGGCCTCGATAGGAGGATTTCGAATAATGGTTCGCAGCCCCAATCTCTTCCTTGCCCCAGCCACAGCGGTTTGAAGTGATGTTGTACCCGGCTCATTGTCACACCGAAGTTCTACTGTAGCATGCCCGAGTGAATGTATAAAAAGCATGAGCTCCACTCCCCAAAATCTGGTTGTACTCTTGGATTGGCATGGAATGGCGACCACAGACCCAGTGCTGCTATCATGCGCCACAAGACAACACAACAGCTCTTCACCACTCTCGCCCTCTGCTGGTTTGCCGTGTGCCTTCATCTCACCACTCTCCTTATCATACCCAGTGAAGCAAAAGTCGAAGGAAATGGATGGAACATCACGCGGTTCTTGCTGCGCTGCTTCACTTCTATCTGGCATCGCTCGCATGCTGATGCAATGGGGGCACCACGCAGCAAAAGGCAAATGTGTAACTTCATGCAGCAATCGTTCCTGCTCCGACGGAGCACGAGGCACTGCTTGCATGTTGGGTCGTCGTTCCTCGCCACTTCTCGCGTCAGTCGCCATGTCTTGCTCAAGAGCAATTTTCTGCTTCTCCAGGTAACCTTGAATGCGCTGAAACAATCTCGTTTTCAAACCTGAGGTCTTGAGCTCGAGGTGCTCGCACGCTGCTTTCAATGCATGTATGCTGCTCTGTGCGGTGAGCACCACATCTTGAACCGTAATCGTGTCACTCGGCTGCTCTCTCTCCTCTCTTTCTTCCACATCTGGCAACGCACGCTGCTCAACAACATCCGGCTCAGCACTGTCTTGCAACGCAACTGAACCGTCCTGCTCTAAAGGCTCCATTGCCTCATCGTGCTCGGGCTCCGAGCCTATACCACCGCCATCATCGTGATCGGCTCCGGGCTGAGCAGGAATCACGAAATCAGATGTATCGATGCCTGCCGCAGTGAGTGCTTCAGGCTCCGTGTGCAAAACAACAATCATCTCAACCGCTGCGCCGCTTGGCACTTCCTCCTCGAGGTCCTCCATCTCGTCCCAGCGCTCGCAATGCTCTATCACAAACCAGGGGCTGTTGTTATCACGCTGTGTAAGAGTGGAACGGAAAGGCCACGAGGTCCCGGCCATCATAGACGGGTCAATCATGGAGGTCGATCGGCCTCGCCACATAATGTGACCTGTTCTCAGGACCTGCCAACCATAATCAACAGCCTGCAGCTCTTCGCTCAAAGTGGCTTGCAACACAGCACGAACTGCAGCTTGCTCAGGATCAAGGTCAGGAAAATCAACTTTGCGAATGCATGCTTCAAGTGCCAGGCTGTTGCCCTGAAAACCTAAGTTGAGCTCTGAGCCCGTGCGCCCGTGTGCCAGGAGCATCTCTTCGCCCTGCCGCTGCGGAAACCAACCTCTCTTCACAAGCCGCCCAAGCCACAAAAGAGGCTGGGTCACTGAAGTGATAAGGCATTTCTCTCGAATCGTGACCTCCCTGCCAGAGCGATCCGTAACAGCAAAGTCCACAATCCTTTGCTGATGCACTTTGAGGTCGCCGCCCTGAGCATCATAAAGGGCGATCTGTTGGCTCGACCGGGCCGAGCGCCCGCAAGTTGCAAAAGAAGTCGGCAAACATGAAATGTCGGCTCCAGAATCTACAATAACAGTGGTAGGGCTCACCGAAAATTCGGGGACTGATCTCAAAGCTCGCACTTCTGCACACAGCCAGCTCTCGGCACTCTCGGGCGCCGTGCACCACGGCAATGTATCATCATCGTCTCTGGCGTCCATCCTGAAAATCTGCACTCCTGACGCAACTGCCTGAACCATGCGCACTCCAGAGGTAAAATCGAGCTCCAGGTCTGACATGTCGAACAAGAGAGGCTCGGCACTCACACGGCGCACAGCAGTTGAAGCTTGCGACTGGACAAACACCAAACGCACTATACTCTGACGCCGGTGCTGTCGAAACTGTCCTTTGCCCTTGCTGCTGCTGTTGCTGGTTGTTCTGCTGCTGCTGTGGCTGCTGTTGCTCGCCTTGACCCTGCACTTGATTCACAGACCGCCGCGGTAGCCAGCAATCACGAGATACGTGTCCTTTGCGACCGCAGTTCCAACACTCGCCTTTGCCTTTGCCCTTCTGCTGTTGCTGCTGGTTGTTCTGTTGTTGCTGTTGCTGCTTTCCTTGCTTGCCCTTGCCGTTGTCATACTTCCCGCCGGGCTTGCCATATCCTTTGCCTTTGCTCTTGCCTTTGTCTCCTTTTCCTTTTGCCTTTCCTTTGTCCTTTCCTTTGTCGCCCTTCTGGCCGACCCTATCAAGTTCCATTGGTGTGGGCCCCGTGTCCTGCAGACCCTTGTTGCTGTCTTGCAAACCATAGCTCAATGCAACACTTGACTGCCACTTGGTTTGGGCCCCATCCCAACGCAACACAAGTGCACGAAGATCTGCATAGCGGCTCTCATCAGATATGGTGACGTTAGCATGTTGCCGAAGTTGCCCGGTCAGACAGCTAAGGAGGGCAGCCATCTTGTGGTTCTCGGGAAGGCCTCCAGGCTCAAGCTGTTCGTACTCTTCAAAGGCAGCCTCGAGACGAAGAAGTTGTTGTGCAATGCCCTGTCGCATATCGAAAGCAGGCCAGCCGTTGATGGTTCGAAGCAATGCTAAAAGTCTGTTTCTCGTCTTTGGCATAAGATCTTTCGAAAGGAGCCTCCAAGCCTCAA